CTTATTGTAATGGAAAAATATCAAAATCCATTAATATACAAAAAACTGTATGGGAAATAATAAACTCTGAAATAGGTAATAAAAAGCCCAATATTAGAGAAAACATCTCATTGGATATTGAAGGTCGGAAATGTACTAACCCAAAAGAGGTCTGTAATATTTTAAATGATTATTTTATTAATTTCATCGTGATCGTGGCTGACCACCTAGTTTCAAATAACCATAATTATTCAGATATACACAGAAATATGCATATTTTACACTCTTCAAAAGACAGATCTCAGACAAGCACATTAGAAGAATTTGAAATATATAAAGCTGTAAAAACAGAACGTCCTGAACGACAAGCTGTCATTTTCATCTAATTATATTTATGACACTACAATCAAGGTATTGAAGGGTGTGGATGGAGGGGGTAGACCCGAATGAAACAGCCGATAAGGATTGGATGACTGGATTCCACTGACCATCGGCAGTCTAGACTATACCTTCGCCGGGGATGAGTCGTCGCAATAATTTCGGCCGTGTCTTTAGTGTTAAATGTCCGTGTTTCGTGTTTGTGACTATGTGTGCATGTTTTTTACGCCTGTTGACGACCTTCGCAAGAAGATAAAAATTGTTTTGACATCCTGATCGGCCTGATGAAGATCCCTATTGTGGATTGAAACCGGTTGCCGTGAGCAACATTTTGGATAACTTTTATGCAGGTATTTAAACCACTTTATTATTTTAATAACGTTGCTCAAGAAGTTAGTATTAATGGTCATGATGATTTGCATATAGGGAATAATGTAAAAATAGAACCCCCAATATTTGATGTAAACCCATGCTTTAGATTTAGACACACTTTTCAAGAAGAGGTGGAAAAGGTAATTAGTTCTTTTTCAAACAAATTATCAAGTGGGTATGACGAGATTCCAATTACAATTATAAACGCAGCAAAATTCGAACTTAGCAAAGTATTAGCACATCTGATAAACTCTTCTTTTGTTTCTGGAATTTTTCCTAATCAGCTAAAAATCTCCAAAGTCATACCTATTCATAAAAAAAAATGATACAAAAGATCCTTCAAATTTTCGTCCCATAGCTTTACTGCCGGTAGTCTCCAAAATTTTTGAAAAAGTTGTCTATAATCAGCTTGTGGAATATTTGGAAAACTACGATCTCATAGATAGTGTTCAACATGGCTTTCGTTCCAACAAATCAATTACTACTGCTGCTGTGAATTTTATTGAATCTATTATTAAATCAGTTGATAAAGGAGAAGTTTGTGTAGGAATGTTCATGGATTTGTCAAAAGCATTTGACACTGTTCATCACCCTACACTCTTGCATAAACTAAAGTCACTTGGTGTGCATAGAATTGCATTGAAGTGGTTTGAGTCATACCTGTCAGGAAAATTTCAATACGTTGAATTAAGTCATACGGAGTATAATAAAGTTTCAAAAGAAAAGTCAAATTTAAAATTAATAACACATGGTGTCCCCACTTAAAAAAATACCACAAGACAACTTGGTGATGTATGCTGATGATTCAAATCTGAACGTCAGCGCAAACCGCCGAAGATGTTGAAATCCTATCTTGCCTAGAGTTGGCTAAATTTAACAGACTTCTTTAACAATCATAAATTAAAATTAAATCCATCAAATAGTATATTTCATTACTAGGACCGAAAGTGGCATTTTCAGGCGCGCGCTCAAGATTTTGTGTGAGGCGAAGCCGAACACAGGGAACCCCAATTTCACGTGTGAGGCGAAGCCGAGTATGTGAGAGCTATTTTCACGTACAAGGCGAAGCCGAGGACGGGAATAATGGAGCAAGTGCCGGATAATAACTTTCGGTACGAGTTATGAACGATACTTTTCATCACGACGCAAAAATACACAAACACAGAATAGCAGACCTCAGTAATATTACAACTAATTTATTTCTCAATTAATTTGATTAGCATCAAAATAAAATAAAATCTTCTAAAAGGATACGTATGTATATTTTCGGTTAATTTTAGAACAAAAAATAAAAGAAAATACTCTAAAGGAAACTTACGTATTTTTTCAATAAATTTGGATTAAACCGTAAAATAAAACAATAAAAGAACTTTTGACTATACATACAGCTGATCGAAATCATTAAATTATATCGTAACAAAACACTAGCGCAGGTAGTGAGTAAATGGATAACTAATTGAGAGCGAGGGAAAGTAAATTTAGGGCGAGGGAAAATCAGCTGATCGATTTTCCCTCGCCCTAAATTAGAGCTTGGGAAACGACTACTTTCATTGATGTCAGATGTTATCGAAAATAGTTACTTTCGTTAAGGAGTGATGAAAAAGTAATTTTGTTTCCTTTAAGACTGCTCAGTGCAGGAGAAAGTTTGAACCCACAATTGCAATTGACTCTAAGCTAATAGAAATTGAAAAGTCTACTAGATTTTTGGGGTTGGAAATAGATGAGAATTTTAACTGGAATCGTCATGTGGAAAAAATCCTTCCTAAAATTAACTCAGGAATATTTGCCTTACGCAGAATGTCATATTTATGCACTGATGTAAGTGTGTTAAAGATGATATAACATGCGCATATTCATTCCCATATTTCATTTGGCTTGGCTTTATATGGGTCAACAAAAAAATAAAACTTGAATGAAATTTTGAAGAAACAAAAGGAAGCTGTCAGAATAATTCTCAATTTGAATCCTGAGGAATCAGCAAAAGAGTGTTTCAAAAATTTAAAAATATTAACTGTATATGGACAATATATTTACGACACGGTCTTAATAGCAATTCATAATCCATTAAAACAGAACATTGTGCAGTCTCACCGAAATAACACGCAAAAAAAATTACCGTCATACCCACTCACCACAGATTAGCATTTTATGAAGAAAAAAAAACCTTCATATATTGGAGCAAAATACTTACATAGACTTATAGCGATGTTTAATCTGTATGAATTAATTTCACCACTATATGAACGAATATTTGATAATGATTTTTTACAAACACATAAAGAAGTGTACTAAATCATAACGTAGTCAAAACTAACTATTTTCAACAAAACTAGCAACAGCTGTTCATAATAAATACTAAACAAAGTATAGACCAAAGGCACAGCTGTGGCTAAGTCAACGCCACATCAGCCCCCCGCAGAGACTGGAAGTCCAGGAAGCTTGAGCTTTACATTTCGACCAGACCGAGTTGTATAGTTTCTGAACAATGATGCCGGGTTTGGAGGCTTGAGGGATGTGTTTGAAGGTTGAGGAGGTCATCATCACCTCCGACATCTTCGTCGCTTATCAACTGGCGAACACATTCTTCTTCACTATTAGACAGCCTTTCAATTAGCTTCGAACGAAGTACCGCGTAACGATTTGTTGCAGGTGGATTTGTGATTATGTCCTCTACTTCCACTGCGTAACGTGTTTCAAGCTGAGAAACGACGTAGTGAAACCGAGTGTCATCATTTGTGATGCCTGAGATGGCGAACTGGGAATCTACCTGAGCAAACCATAGTCTAGGTCGATCGGCCCAGAATGGTGGAAGTTTTACTGCAACTCGATTCACTGATACATTACCAGGGTCGTTGCGTTGCTGAACGTTGTTGGAAAGTTCATTTTGTTGCTCCCGTAGATTCGCCAATTGAGCTTCGATTTCTTCTAGCGACATTGGTAATATTGATGTAGGAATGTTGTGCTTCTTGTTGTCGTTATTCGGGGTCACCAATATATAGCGATGTTTAATCTGTATGAATTAATTTCACCACTATATGAACGAATATTTGATAATGATTTTTTACAAACACATAAAGAAGTGTACTAAATCATAACGTAGTCAAAACTAACTATTTTCAACAAAACTAGCAACAGCTGTTCATAATAAATACTAAACAAAGTATAGACCAAAGGCACAGCTGTGGCTAAGTCAACGCCACATCCTTCCTATTGCGTTAAAAACAGAAAATAAAATCAATAAATTTAAGAAGATGTTGAAAAATTACCTTCTTCACAAACCACTGTACTCGTTTGAGGATTTGTTTAACTTTTAGTCAAAGTCGTAGTATTAAGTTTTGATTTGACACTATTCTCATGTACTGTGTGCATATTGTGAATAAAGATGATTTGACTTTGACTTTGAAGAACAGATGTAAACAAACATAACCAACAGCGTATCGGCGTAAACAACAACAAATACTTTTAACGTAGTCAAAGCTGTTTGCATAGAGCAAGGCGTCTAAAGACAGACATCAGAGGAAAGCTTGTAATTTGGAGAGTACAACAATACTATATAAGTTGAAGTTTATAACAAATTATAACACCGATTAGACGCTATTTTTAAAAGCGTGCCTACCGTCGATCGATCGACGGCGAACCGTCTACGGCCGCGAACTGGCGTCGATGCATCGACGGTAAACCGCGGGAGGGTTAAACTAACTAACTTAAACTTACACCAACATACTATTAGGCATTTTTATTGCTCCTGTGTTATAACTCTTCTGGATCTCGCTAACCCTGGGCACATCAAGTAACTCGTGCTGCCTTGTTTGGCGGTCATGAACCACTGAACGAAGTTGAAATTTGTTGCAGTTGTCATGGATCAGCAGTGAGCATGCCAGGATGTAATGGCTGTAAACAGTGAAGATCCCCAGTCTTGCAAAGATGGGTTTACAGTGGGCAAGGTGGTCACTAAATGTAATAAGTCTTACAGCACGTTTCTGGATCACCAATATATCTTCACCATCAGCGGCATGACCCTAAAGTAGTAGGTCATAGCTCACATGGCATGATAGATGTTCAGCAGGTACTGAATCACCTAAACTATCACATTGCAAAATAATATAGAACAAAAGGGAAGAATAATCCGATCAATATTGTTCATACAGGGTATCTCAAATGGTTGAAAAGTTAAGATGGGGTGTAAGTTACTTTTCAGCCATCCTATATAATACAAAGAAATTATTTATACATAAAGACGGGATTGTGATAAAAAAAGAAAATTTTCTTTTTTGGAATGATGGTCAATGATTATTACTTCAAAACAAATTTTACAAGGCTGAGCTTGAATATATTAATATGCACACTTTTTATACACTAGAAACACACTTAAGGCAATAATTATATAACATCACAGAATACAGCTTGTTCATATCTTAATCAGCAGCAATTGCGATTTTTTCCTTCCCTTTGGTTTTGATCTTTCCCTGTTCCTTTTCTGGGACTGTAAAAAACCAGAATATTTTGTTAATAATTATTATAATACACTACCACAGTAAAATATGACAGGCCCCTTATCTTAGCTAAAATAATAACCAGAATTGGATGGAAATGCTTCAAGATGTATTTAGAAATTATTGTAAAATTGATGTAAAAAATTAACAAAAAGATTAATAAGCAGATTGAATGACTGATGAAAAAGAGGTGCAGTACAGAGGTACGTGTTTACTTTGGAAACAGAGGTAGTCTCCTACCCTGACCCTCCTGTTGTATGGAGTGTATTGCTTTTTAGGAGCAACTGTCAAAATAAACTGAGCAAAAAACCAAAAATATCACCTCGTCAAGTTATGTTTGATATGGTGTGTTGGTCTAAACCCGTCACTGTATGCCACAAAGTACATTTAATCTTCTAACATTATTTGAATACACCTCGATGGGAATATAAAAAGATTTTGTGCATTAAATAGCAACAACATCTTGGAAATTTTATTGGTTATATATTTGCAAAATGCCATTGACTGACATAATAACTTACTTGACATAGAATCATAAAATTTCACATGGATGGTCACTATATGGTGAAGGTCTGCAATAAGACGGGGCTTTACAAAATTCAAGGGGGTTTAGGGGGGTAAATTCTTTTTCCGGTGAAGTTTGATTAAGTAAGTATATTGGTATGGGTTGTTTAAGCTGAACCAATGATTGAATCTTAAATCTGATGGAAAATCATCGGTGTGGAATGATATTATCCACAACATTTGTATTTCAAATTCTTTTCTATCTCAAAAGGGTTTTGAGTAAAATCTGTTAAAAACGAAAACTGAAAATTTACTTTTCCCTCAGGTTTGCATCTCAAAACAAGGCAGTTCCCGGTTAACTACTACTATTACCATATTGTACAACATTAAAAACATATTGTATAAGTGTTTTACGTAAGCATTTTATTACATTTCAGGAGTTATTGCTCATGCGATGACTTTTGTAATATGTATAGATTAAAAACTAAAAGCCCTATCATAAAAACATTGGAAATTTCCTATCCTAAGATTTTATTTTTATTACTAGCTATTATCATTAACCAGACTGTACTGTAGTAATACTGGTAGTTTTTGTTAAAAGATAATACAAAGTGAAATTACAGCAAACCTGTGTATTCTGCCGATTCCCAACAGATTTTGACTTAACTTTGTAACATCAAGACAAAATGAATAGTCATTTATTCCATCTTCAAACAATACAATGTTGTGATTGATTTAGTCAAAAACAAATTTACACCCTAATTTTGGCTTGGGCCTACATTGTAATTGGACAAGAGACAACATGGCATGCTTATAATATTCTAATTTAAAGTTATGAGGATCTCTACTCAAGAGTTAACTGTAGGTAAGTATCTTAATGCAGTTCTCTTCTTTGGAACTTAACATTGTTCTTTATATTTGTTAAGGTTAAAGGCTTATTAAAATATCTCTAGGATGTTACAAAACATTTTAGATAGAGAATACATTGATTCTTACAAAATGGAAATTTTTTATAATAGTTTGGCCTAGGTACATCCTAGCTGAGGCTACTTACGCGAGCAGGCTACAGCTCCAACGAGGTATGGATATGCACAGCCATAACACCCGACAGGCTGTGAATTACACACTTCCAGTCCATCATCTAACTCTTTTTTAAGAAAAGCCTTCCTACATGGGAGTGAAGTTCCTGAACCTGCTACAGAGACGATAAAAGGCCCCAGCATAAGCAGCACCAGACAATGCTTATCGGCTTGGCTTGTGGAGAGACCATTCTATACATTTGAGGAGTTCATGAACTGGAGAACATCACCGATGTTCCAGTGAGAACTAAACAACCCTCATAGTAATAACCATCACTACCGACAGCGCCTCAAAGCCCAACAACTTTATGCTGTTTTGTATTTAAATCTCTGTAATGTTTGACGCCTATTCTGTACTCTATGTTCAAGAATAAAGTATTCTGATTCTGATCCTAGGACCGTGAGTACGCCTACCCAAAATCCGACACATTCATTAGTCACATAATATTTTATTAGCTTTTCTGATTATAGATGAATGGATTTAATCCTTAATAATTGTTATTAGACGGCAAATAAACGCAAAAGGTAATTAATTTTAGCCTGTAGCGAAGTCATGGCTTCAGCGGGTTCATAGTATGAATAAAACACAAATTATGTCTGGCTAGTAATAATATAAAATAATGTTACCAATGAAACTCAAACAGTTTTCTTTCCAATATATCTTTTGCACTGCTCTAAACTGACTTGGCATACTCTAGTACCTGGTAGTTCATCGGACGGCACCTCTGGTAGTTCCAGGTCTGTTTGTTCTTCTTCTTTGTCTCCGGATGCTTCCTCAAGAGCCACCAACTCAGCAAATTCTTGATCAACAGCCTCTTCATCTTCACTCGTCAGCACTCCGCTTAGCAGGTCGTCGATTTCCTGTAATTACCAATGTTAGTATTGAGTAAACTTATTTTATTTTTGCATTTGTTAAAATAAAAGTACTTCAGTGAAAAGTGTAACAAATTCATAGTGTTAGAATAATCTCCAAATTATAAAAAAATTTCAGATTCGATAGGTTATAGATGCAATATTTTTACTATTTAATAATAACTAATCTACAGTAGAGAGTCAATTATCCAAAACAAATAGGGATTGGGGGGGTGTTCAGATAATGGGTCATGGACAGAAAATATAACATAGGCCTACAATATTGATAACATTTAATTTAAAATTATTTTTTACTGGTTTTGATTGTCTCCTCAACCAAATGTACCAACATCCGTAAGCATATGTTACAGTCGAGGCAACACCAGTGAATTCCCTGATCCCAAAACACCCATGAGCAGTGTTGACTAATACGAATTACACTTGTAAATTTAGTTTATTTAGTTTTATTTGATAGTTTATTTTGCCAACCCAGCAGACGGTCTTATGACCATTGTTGTATGTGCGCTATGTAACTATGTATGATTTAGAAAAATATGCATGAATAAACTGTACTTAAGTCTCCACAAAAATATATGATGTAATGACATGAAATAAATAAATAAATATATTCATCATGAAATTATGTGCTTAACCATACACCGGAATAGAGTTGGTTAATTACAAGTGTTACAACAATGAATTGCAGATATGGACAGTAATTTAAATTAAGGATTAATATAATTTACTAGTTGCGTTGCTATCCTATCAATAATGACGGGAGTAAATCATGACGATTACAACTGGAAGCATCATCATTGTATGTAAAAAATGTATCTCAATATGTATTTCATTTTAATAAAGTAGGGATGAATGGGATGCTAAATTAAAAATGAACAAAAATAGAATATCTAGACTTTTACTATAGAAACATTAATTATCAGTCGTCCTCTTATCTAATAGACAATATTTTTTCCTTTTTTTGTCCTAAGACGCTAGGCACGAGCCCGGAATTGTTTTTCACATTACTACAGGCTAGACCTAGGGGTTACGGCAATATCACTTAGATAACATCCATTGGTGATTTGGCGGGGTTTGAACCCGGAACCCCAGGAACCGGAGTCCCGCGCTCTAACCACTAGACCAGCTCGCTCACCCATCTAATAGACGAATAGACATACCATTGATTCATTATAACAATACACACTGTATAAATAAATAAATAAATACTACATAAGCCTATGTAATCTTTATCTCTAAATGTGGAATTGTTGTCACATTATGTTGAATCTTTGCAACTGTGTTGTTGCCAGAGTGCACAATTTATGATTTGTGTGATATCACAGGTGATTATTAGAATATCGGTAGGCCTACTTCAATGAAAAAATGTTGACATTTATTTCAACACAAGAAAGGAGCATTATTCTTAACAATACAAAATAACAAACAAACTTAGTAACATTTTAAAACAATAAATAATACTCATGACTGTAAATTTATATAAGTACTGAAAAAATCAGCCCAGTTGTTCAGCAATAAACAAAAGCCAGTCTCTCAGCAAAGGTTCAAGATATAGCCTATATTAGAGTTTCAAACTTATAATTGACAATGCCAAGTACAACAGCTATTGTCACCAAAATCTAATTTAAAATCTTAGCGTTGGATACTAGATTAAAATTAAATTTTCAAAAAACTGAAACCAAAACTAAATATCTTTGACATATCATTCCTCTAAAAATTATTTTAAAATTAAGAATCATGGAACCATCAAGTAGTTTAGTAGAACCTTAGGGCTAAACACCTATAAAAAGTAATAGAATAAAGAATAGGTAACACATCAACATATTAAAAACCAAGCAAAATAAACAAAATTTTTAAAATAGCGAGGTACAAAGAGGCATAAACAATGCAACACATCATCCAATGGTATCTGGTGGATGTGAAGACTTTAGTGGCGAGGAAGGAGAGGGGCTCGCTCAGACTGGCCCACCTCTTATATACATCTCGGGGACACAGTAAAAGACTCGACAGTTCTGATTCTTGCTGTAACTATCGCCTGTCTTCTAACTAGAGAAAGTTTCAAACTCACCTTTTGTTTGTCTACTGCCTCTCTTGTCTCATCCAGGATTTTCTCTACATCTTCAATGTTAAGCATATCGTTAACTTTTTTAAGTGCTTCATTGCCGACTTTTAGTCCGTCCAATACCTGATGAATAAGTAATTTATATTATAACACAATTTAAAAAAACCTTTTCACATTGGTATTCTATGTAGGTACTAAAGATTTGTTTATACTGCCAATTGGTTGAAGGTTAGGAAGTCTTTACAACAAAATTGAACTTCTGAATACTTAAGTTTTTTAAGATATGTAATAACAATAGGGTTCCCAGCAATAACGTGCTGTGGGCAAAAATAAGTGTTGTTTTATATAGCTTGCAAAAAAATGACATTGAAATAGGCTATGAGAACCCTACACTAACATATTTACAAACCATGTCAAAATAAATGGTCAAATAATAACCATAAATTCTAAGTTAACAGAAAAATAAAATTCAGAAAGTGCGGGGCTCGTTTAGCTCATCCTGTATGTGAGAATCTTTTGAAAAAATGTACTGAAAACACATAACTAATAACAATCTCAAGTTTATAATTTCTTACCCCAGGAAATTACAACCATCAGATTAGATGTATATGAAACTGACAAACTAGTGTTAATTTGCTTATTGAAATGAAATGAAATGAAAAATTCTTTATTTAACCACAAACAAAAAGTAGCACAAACAAAGGTGGTTTCTTATTTTAGGGCAATGAAGAGTGTTCTATCGACCTGATAGATTTTTACGACGGGACCTCTAGTTTCTGTCAATACTCTTTTTTTACTGGTGGCCTTTACAATTATTCAACACTTTAAGGGGCTTTAGATCTAACATTTTTGAGCTACCCCAAAAATCCATTCTGGCGTTCCGGACAAGATTCGGATGTCATAAAAAAAGCGTACTTTTAGATAGGGGTCTGCGGTACAGAAAATTTACAGTACAAATAATAAAAAGTCGGTATGGTTTGGTACGGTACAATATTTTTTACCTCGGTTCTCGGTACAAATTGTGTACAGAGTGCAGCTACCAGTATTTTTGCCATTTTTTCTCAGAATTGTATTTAAAACCATAATTTTGAATTTTTTAAACATTGGCATTACTATGAAAATGGATAGTATCCGACATTCATGGTTTTCTAACAATTACAGTACCACAAATTATTAATACCCCCGCCGCAGCAAACCTGAAATATAAATATTACAATTGTAATTAATAATATTATAATTATGAAATATTATAATTTATGTTATGTCCTAGATAAATTGTGTTGTTATGAGTTTAAAATGTACTAACTTTTCTGTGTAGTATGATGTAAAGTATCGTACGTTACTCGCCCGGAAAGCCCGGTTACCCTACTCGCACGAAAATCCCGCACGAGGCGTCACGGTAAAACACCACTAGTTTAGATTTTAATCAAATTAGGCAACTTTGGTTTATTTCATTGTAACGAGTTATTTTTCCTAGGGGGGTAAATTTTTGCTATTTGGCGGCACACCGATTGTTGAGGTAAGCAAGCGGCGGCGGCGAAGCTAGCTAGCGCCCTTTGACCCGGCTTATCAGTTTGGATAAGCTTGGGTATCCTGGAGCTACCGTATAGTCGAGGACAGACATTCTAGTTGTGGATCCCGGACAGTGAGGAAGGTTGGTGTTGGTGTCCTGTGGAGAAGACTGGCGTGTACGTTGGGAGTACAGTGAGACTGGTGGACAGTGAGTGTCGGTGTTGAGTTGAGTGTTGAGACTCACTATTGGTGAGTTGACGACGTTCTTTTAATTTTGGTTAAGGAGTTGGGTACTTTCCTGTTAAAGGGAACATTCATTACTATCGATGATTTTTCTCTCGATATATCGATATTAACAAATTGAAACATATTGTTCAGTATCAACAAACAATATAATAATGAAATGAAACTGTTCTTAAAAAAAAAACCTAACATAACTAACCAAACTTGCTGTGTAACATTACATGTTTAACTTGCCTTTTCTGTTATCAAAAGGAATTTTTAAATAGTACAGCAAGTTTGGTTGGTTATGTTAGGTTAGCTTAGAACAGTTTCATTTCTATATCCATATAATAGACTATTTTAGCCTAAACAAGATCAGTTGTCAATATGTAATGGATCGGTAAACAAAAATATCGATATATCGAGACAAAAATCATCGATAATAATGAATGTTCCCTTTAACAGGAAAGTACCAGGAGTTGATATTATTAGTTTGATAATATTAATCTCTGATTTTATTGCGAGAGTTAGAGTTATAACCGTGCTGGTCAAAGCCTGACGGTAGTTAGGATTACAGGTGTCAGGAATAATATTAAAGTATATTCCTGACGGTTCTGGGCAGGCGCTAAATCGCAAATAATATATTTTATTGACTGAAGTAGATATTATTTTGCGTTTTACATGTGTTAGTTATTTTACTAATAACTGTGAGGCCCGACAATCCTAGGCTGCACGATTTGGCGTGCGTAGTTGGAAGCACGTGGCCAGTAGGCTAGTAGCTAATTTTATTAGCCTATTAACAGAAGCCCAGCTAAGTAATATAACGTTGATATAGTAGCAGTAGTGGTAGTAGCAGTAGGGTTGGTATTGATTAATCATTTTTATTTTTATTTAACCTGAACAGCTTGTTTAGTAATCCAACACATTATCTTGGTAGCTTGGATAGCGGAGTACCGGCTTTCAGATAATGTATTTATCTAGTGTTTGGAACGTATTTAATATTTATTTATCTGCTACTAAGTAGCTCAATAATTTAATAGTAGTGCAACTGACATTTAGTTTTGCTTGTTTGGCTTGGTATTTATTGAGACCAGCTACTAGAGGTTTAGTCACACTGCCTATTGTATACTTGTAATATTATATGGAATTATTATTGAGTGAACTGTTTGATTGTTAGCTTGAGCATTAGAGCTGTGTGTGTAGGATTATAGTGGCCGAGTAGACCCCGCCTGGTGATAACTCGCGTTGTGGTTTTTACTGGCAAGTCGTCGTGTAACTCACTTTGTTTTAGGCACTCTGGGCTTAGTTAGGACGAAGCCCGAGTTGCGTAGTCAGCAACGACCCCCTAGGAGAGTGGAGAATCGGCTTAGGTCTGGTGGTGATTAATTGCACTTTTGTTTTGGTGACTTATTATCCTGTAATTAGTCACTATAATTCCTGTAATAAAAGTCGTCGGGCTTTGCCCCACAGGCCATCAAAGTCCCTATGTATTTCTTATGAAGAAAATATGTGGTTTACTAATTCAGATGAATAATTTGTATTAATTACAACTGCTCATAGTAAACACATGATACACTCACGAGAGTTCGTTTTTAGAGTGAGTTAGTTTTCAGTTTCGGTAACTGGAGTGGATTGATTGATTACATTATCTTTGAGTTGACTCTTTTAAGTAATCGGAAATTATGACTGTTATTAATTTTGAAATAACACCTGGAATACTTTATGCAATTGCTCGAAATCGAGCAACAGGTGCACTAGTTTGTTATAATACCTGTAATTCAATTTGTGAAAACTCCAGGTCATGTATCATCCGTTCCAAATTTTCTAGCTGCCCATCTGCCTTCTCCAGAAGTTGTTCCTGGAAACGCTTCTTGCGAAGCAACAATTTTGCTCTCCTGCAAGATATATAATTTGCCAACTTTAGAATAAATACTGCAACCAATTTATACATATCTAACATTGTAGCATGTTTAACAAATTACATATTTATTTACTGACAAAGTAAGGGTCACTCTTTACACAGACATCTATAAGATAAACTAAACAAAATCAAAGTGTAATGAAAGTAGCATTTAATATTTTGAATTCTTCTCCCAGTACAGAAAATTTATTTTCCAGACCACCACGTGTTATTTTTAAAAGGCCACAAAATTACAAAAACATGTTGGTGAGACCCAAAATTCAAAATTCTCGGCCTTCAAACAATTCTAAACACGGCTGTGAACCATGTCACAAGCCCCGATGTGGTATTTGCAAAATTATGAGTAGTACAACTGAATTTGATAGCAAAGTTACAAACAAGGTTTATCCGATTGTTGGTAGATCAACTTGTGAAACTCACAATGTGATTTATCAACTGTCGTGTAAACTTTGTCCAAAAGAATACATTGGCCAGACTTCAAATTCTTTAAGAGTTTGAATGACAGGCCATTGTTTTGATTTGGTACATGAAGACAAAAGAAAACCAATCTATAATCATGGCGCTCACCACAACCAAAATTTTGAAGGCTGCTATACCCTTAAAGCCCTTCACAAAGTAAACCCACATCAAAACCCTAAATGCAACCAACTGGTCTTAATAAATTCTGAATTGGCTGACCAGTTGGTACTGAAAACAAAGTTCCCCTCTGGTTTGAATCTAATATAGTAAAATGTGATTCAACTCAGCTGAATTTTAATTTTCTTTTAGGCTGATTTTATTTTTCTTTGACCTGTACTCAATCATATGTTCTCAAAATTCAACTATTTGTAAACAGCTCATATTTATTTGTTTTGTTCATTTTTACATTTTCATTAATTTCTCTTTGCTTGAAAATGTTTGTATTAAACAAAAATTTGTACCATTTCATGTTTCACTTTTCATAACTCTATCAAGAAATCCTCAAGAACAATATAAATATATATGTATGAATTTGAACGGATGGTGTTTTTGGCCTCTGGGGACCTCAAAACGAAAAAAATAAATCGTTTCCGGGTCTATGTCTACCATTAGACCTACGGTAATAGTTTATTCCCTAGATGGGAAATCCGCTAAAACCAGGATTTGGGCCGTTGCCTTACAAAAGAGCCATTCTAAAATTAAGTGGAATTTCCACCCATTATGAAAAAAATATTTATTTCTAATATAGGTACTATTCAAAGACTAATAAAAAAAACTAAACACATTTAAAGTATTTTTGTAGAGGTCGAGAATGAATAATATAGGCTACTATATTATATACAGGGTGTTTTTTTGAAAACTTGCATCTTTATTTATGTAAAAACCGCAATAGATAGAAATAAGCAGTTTGCGGGAATCATCTATTGACGTAGGGGGCCCAATTGTTTTGAATTCAACGTTACTTCACATTCCCCCCCTTTCCCCCCCTGCCCCCAACTTAATTTTTTTAAATAGCAAGGTACCCCTTGTGACATATCAAATAAAAGAGGATGAAAAAAGAAAATGTTTGATTAAAAAAAATTGAAAATCGGTTCATAAATTTCTGAGATATTCCCCCCCCTCCCCCCCGGAACTTAATTTTTTTTTTAATAGCAAGGTACCCCTTGTGACATATCAAATGAAAGAGCATGAAAAAAGAAAATTTTTGTGAAAAAAATTTAAAATTGGCTCATGAATTTGTGAGATAATCACCCCCTTTTCCCCTACCCATAACTTGTTTTTTAATAGCAAGGTACCCGCCCTTGTGACATATCAAATTAAAAATAAATTTTACCAAACATTTTCTTTTTTCATGCTCTTTCATTTGATATGTCACAAGGGGTACCTTGCTATTAAAACAAATTAAGTTCCGGGGAGGGGGGGGGGGAAATATCTCGCAAATTTATGAACCGATTTTCAATTTCTTTCATCAAACATTTTCTTTTTTCATACTCTTTCATTTGATATGTCACAAGGGGTACCTTGGTATTTAAAAAAATTAAGTTTGGGGCAGGGGGGAAAGGGGGGGAATGTAAATGTAACGTTGAATTCAAAACAATTGGGCCCCCTACGTCAATAGATGATTCCCGCAAACTGCATATTTCTATCTATTGCGGTTTTTACATAAATAAAGATGCGAGCTTAAAAAAAAAACCCCTGTATAGTAATTACCATGGGAGTTACCTACATGGAGGTACTTTTTTCTGTTAATTCACTTGTAAATCCTAACCTATGGATTTATATATCCAGAGAATATGTTTTCTGAAAGATAACAGGTGTCTCCCAAATCAAAAGTCAAAATTACAATTTTAGCATATGACATTCATTATTTGTTGTACACATGGAGTTTTCAAAAGAAATATACTCGCCTTGTGAAAAAGGATATTCTGTTTATTAATAGCAAGTAGTGATAAGAAAACAAAGAACAGAAAACTAAATATGGCTGCCATCTTATTCCCCAAAACTCCACCAAAAGACAGTTCTGCTCTCTAGTGAGCATTTTTAGAACTTTTATGTATGGTCCATGGAGGTTTACCCTTTTAGTAATTACGAGAGCTCACCCCGTGGTCAAAAACTTGACCAAAAGTATGTATTGTGCAAACTTCTCTATTTTAACCCCACGCTGTAAATAAAACATGCGATTAAAATTTCTTCCATAACCTTCTTTTGGTATAACGCGTGTGTAAATCGGCCCAGTAATATGGTCAGGCTAATTGTCATGAGTTTTCCAAAAGCTTTTTAATATATAAGATTTACTAAAGGAATAGTAAACTTTTCAGGCACATGGGACACATTTCATTTAACACAACCTGCATGTAAATCTGTCCAATAGATCTCCAGATCTCACTCCTATTAGACTTAAAATTTTACCCCATGTTAAATAGTCAATAGATTTTTTAATTTCCGTTTTTATAACACTTCGTCAAGTAATCTAGTAATAACTGAAAGATTTTTTCAAAAGGGGTATCAACCACGAGTCTTTGGAATCAGAGGTATGGATGGCACATTGGTTAGTGAAAAACAAAAAGTTCTTAATACATGGAAAGATTATTTTGAAGTCCTATTGAATTGTGAGGAGGTCAGTGGAATAGGAGATGAAATACAAATAGGTACAGAAAATGTAGATGATGCTATTGATGAGCCGACCCGAGAAGAGGTGAAAAATGTAGTAAAAAGTCAAAAGAATGGAAAAGCCCTAGGTGGAGACATGATACCAGTAGAATTAATTAAGAATGGAGGCCCGATTCTAGAAGAATATATATACAAGCTGATTGTGAAAATGTGGAGAACAGAGAAAATACCAGTTGAATGGCAGGAAGCTGTAATTGTCCCCATCCATAAGAAGGGTGACAAACTAGACTGCAAAAATTACAGAGGAATATCACTCTTAAGCACAACTTACAAAATCCTCTCTAAAATAATTCTTAATAGAATAGAAAAATACGCTGCAAACATAGTGGGAGAACACCAGGCAGGATTTATGGCAGGCAGATCAACAACCGACCAGATTTTATTGAAAGAAATAGCATCTAAATACTGGGAACACAACAAAGACTTGTATATTCTTTTTGTTGACTTTGCAAAAGCTTATGATAGCATATCAAGACAAAAAATGTGGAAGTTGATGGAAAAACACAGGATTCCAAAGAAACTTGCCAATCTTACAAAAATGTGCAAATTTAAGACCATATCAAAAGTCAAAGTAAAAAATGAATACTCAGACACCTTTAGAATTAACACAGGACTAAGACAAGGCGATGCACTATCCCCATTATTATTTAATCTAGTCATTGAAGAAGCGCTGAGAGAGGTGAGCAGTCTTCAGGGAGGTGCAAAGATTAGCGGGAAGACAAACGTTCTAGCATTTGCAGACGATGTGGCACTTATAGCAGAAAATAAAAAAGATATTAAGGAGCTAGCAGAAAAGCTAATCACTGAAACACAAAAAGTGGGACTAAAAGTAAATTAAGAGAAAACTAAGATAATGAAGATAAGTAGACTACCTGATAACCAACCATACTTGGAAGTTTTAAATTTTAAATTCACAAAAACTGACAATTTCAAATATCTGGGAGTGACAATAACAAGTGAAAGCAGACAAGACGACGAAATCCAATGTAGATTAGCAGCAGCTCAATGGTGCTATTGGAGTCTAACAAAACTATTTAGAAGTAGACTCCTGACCAGAAGAACTAAAATAAAGATGTATAAAGTAATAATACAACCAGTTCTACTATATAGAGCAGAAGTCTCCATCACTGGAATAAGGGCAGAATGGAAAAGAGGCTGGGCTTACAAAGCAAAATGAAAAGAAATTAAATTTTTTAAAAATAAAATCTTAAGTAGAGTGTTTGGACCTATTAATGACAATGGTGAATGGCGGATAAGGAAGAACCAAGAATTAAGAGAACTTTATAATGACCCAGATATTATTGCAATGGTAAAGAGCAGAAAATTACGATGGCTGGGACATGTATATAGAAGAGATGTTAACAGTATGATTAAGAAGGTATGGATTTGGCAACCAGAAGGACGACGGCCGCTGGGACGGCCCAGATTAAGATGGAATGACCAAGTGAGGCAGGACCTCAGGAGGTTAAGAACAAGTTTGGAGACAGCAGTGGAGAAGCATTGTTGGCGAGGCCAAAAATCACTTGGGATTTGTGTGGCCACAGAAGTAAGAGTAAGTAAAATTTATTTAAAAATAAAATAATTACTAAAAGGTTACTTTGTTAACTATGTTTTTGATTTTTATTATATTAGTAGCCCTAAACATGCAAGAAAATAATATATATATATATATATATATATAAATAAATTTGAACGGATGGTGTTTTTGGCCTCTAGGGACCTCAAAACGAAAAAGTAAATCGGTCCTGGGTCCAGGTCTTACCATGAGTACTACGGTAATAGCTGATTCCCTATATGGGAAATTCGCTAAAAATGTTAAAAATTGCCAATGGGGTCAAAAAACATATAAATTATTATTTAAATACGGCATTGTACTTTCTTACTCTCTTTTTCCATCAGAAAGAAGTTGTTTTGCAAGGGCCTTTTCTGATTCTAGTTTCTTTTCAATTCGCCTTTGATACTGACGGAGTTTATCTCTTTGATTCTTCACTTGCTGAAAATTAAGAAACCAGTTAGCTTTTAAAAAATAAAGCAACAGCAATTAACTTAAGGGTTAGTTCTTTTGTTCATTTTTCCCTATAGTATTGATATCATGGCTACAATATGTAGCTTTTATACCTTTGCTGATATCAACACTATCTATTATTAAGAGAACAAGTTTTGAAGCTTCATTGGGTCAGCCAAGAGAATCACTTCAATTAGTTGTATAAGTTTATGCCAATTCTCATATGGGGAATACACTATTATCGTAGGTCTTAGCCTATAGATCAAACTATGGAAACCCAGGATTTTATGCCCCAAAACTAATAGCCCCAAAACATATTATTATTCTAATATCCCAATTTCTATCTCTCTATAAACCATCTTGTAACTTATAGCTTAAAAACATAATTTTAGTATGTTAGAGTGTTTATGTACTGTTATTATTTACAGAGAAAATAAAAAATGTTAATTTAAAATCCTACTTTATTCTAAGTAGGCTTAAGTAAACTGTTGTAGTTTGTTTATCCTATTTCAAAATAAGTTAGCAAATTTATATATTTTTTTACTAAGCTCTTAACATTTTACTAAAAAACATTTTTAGGCCTATATTTATTATTATCCCTTACTACTCTCATTTTAAGGGCCTATGCCCTAGGTTTAATTTATTATGCGGGTCATTAAGCCTAACAGTATTTCAACTTCCAATTACACTAATAATAAAAATTTAAAAAAATATATAAAAAAATTTTAGAACATTTTTTTTTAAGCCAACATGTAATATGGTTGCGAAACGGCTGATGTCGGCTCACAGCCTACACGGGAGTGGTAACTGTTAAGCTTGATTACCCTCCCTTTAACAGAAAACCTATGTACTCGTTCCACCGTATATGGACAGTAACTTATACTGAAAATGCAAAAATGGGCTAATGTATAAGGATAATATTGAAATTGGAGTAGGCTATAACATGATGAAAGCGATACAAAGGAAATGTAAAAAATTAATTTAAAGAATTAGGTAGGTATTTAAAATGTTTATGGGCAGTGTATTTAAAAGATACATCTATTATCGGAAACCATTATTTAGAAAGTTTTAACTTTAAAAGCCACATGTACAATCCCCGATATAAATAAACGGTATCAGCAATCTGACACATACTTTCTCCCATTAGCTTGTCATCAACCTTTATCATGGGTAAGCGTTGAGAGTAACTAAAACTATGATACTTAAGCCCTCTTTCACACCAGCGCTGTGCGGGACTGTCCCGCACCGCACGAAGCTGTTTAGACTATTGAATCATATGGGAGCTTTCACACCAGTGCGGGTTCACCCGGACAAACCTAAACCTCTGTCCGGGTTGAAAAATCACCCGCTGGAACCTAAACTTCCAATGCAGGACGGAACCGGATGGCTAGTTTTTAGATCATGGGCTCTTATGTACGCTTTTACTGCGCGGGACGGCTGGTTTCGCCCGCACATAATTCAGTAGTTAAAACAGTCTGCGTCTATCAGTGGTTGAGTGAGGTTGATTTTGTAGTACTCTTGTCAACTTAATAGGGAAGTTTGTTTTTTTTCGATATGGAGTAAGACATTGATATCGAGCACTTGAATAGTTTGGTCAAGTGTTATTATATTTGGTTTGATTTTAAGGCAAGTGATGAGAGACAATACCCCCGTCGCAGCAAACCATCTTCCATTTGCCTGATAAAATTTTTACCAAAAATGTCATTAAACATGCCTGATTTATTAAATAAAAAAACATTTGGTTTAACAACCATTTAAATTGCATTCTATATTAAGGCAATGAGGTGTGGTTTTAGCAAAAACCTCATACAAATATAAATATACATATATCAAAATTTTAATGACAGAATTTTTTTTTTCATATGTGTCCATCAAAACAAAAAATTGTCCTGGATCTGTATGTTACTTTGCCAGCTATGAAAAAGTATTCTTTTCTATAGGGAAAAATTAGCTAAAACTGTGAAAGCATGCCATAGTTATGCTGTAGTAAAGGAAGCATGGCAAGCGGTACATTAAGAATTAAAATTAGATATATATTGGACATTCTACAAAAGTTTAAGACCTTCCTTTCATCACCCCGCAGCTGTCACCATATTTTTAAAAAATACAATGAAACTTTTTACACACAAGACTTCGATCCAAATAACTTATTTAGCACCGGAGCACTGTACTTTATTTTCGGACAACAAGTAGCATAGCCACCTTCATTTTATTCATTTCAATCAAATACACCTAAAAATCACAAAGGTTCAGCCTGGAAACGCCCGTGTCCGGGCAGCTAATGTGAAAGGGTCTTACGGGACAGGACGGGCCCGCACCGCACTGGTGTGAAAGAAGTCTAATAGGTAAAATATCACAAAAGTTGCATTAACTTTTGTTTGAAACGTATTTTTTTACAGAAATGGGGGGTTGCACTATTTTTTTTATAATCTTAAGGACCGTAATAGACAAATTTCAATCAGAACCGGTTTTTTTTTTAATCCATTTTTTAAATTTTTTAATGGGTTTTAATGGGAAAATAGCATAAGTTAAAATAACTTTATAACCATAATGTTGACAGAAATGGGGTATTGCACTATGTTAATAAGAATTATAAGTACCATCACATACTAATTTAAATCGATACCGATTTTTTTTCCCGATTTTCCCTTATTCTATGGGTTTTTATGGGAAAATAACACAAGTTACAATAATTTTTGAGCCGTAAATTTTACAGGAAAAACAAACAACAAATAAAAAATAAGAACAGCTTATTTCTAAATAGCTCAGTTTATATCAGTTTCAGTTTCAGTTATATCTAAATGATTAAAAATTATAATCATGATTAAATTATCTTAATGAGTGGGTGTATTAAATTATTATTAAAATTGTTCGGGTCACTTTTGAGAAAATTCTATTTTCTTTTATTTTACGGGTTTTTATGGGAAAATTACCATTAAACATAAAAATTGTGAAAAAAAATTAAAAAAACCGTCTGGAGATACCATGGATAAGTACCTCCATACCAAATTTCATCAAAATCGTAGATGTGGTCTGTAGCTCTGTACACATCCACACATAGGCCTACAGACAGACACACACACACACACACACACACACCCACACACAAGGACAGACATCACTTCGAAAACCACCTTTTTGGGTTCAGGGGGACCCAAAACAGATATATCCACACAAAACTCAAACTAAAAAATGTTGACAAAAACGATACTGAGAAAGTAAAATTACATCATTCCAATGAAACATAAATTAAATTTCAATGAAAAAAAAAAACTACTGACATTTTTAAAGCATTTAACTGATTACATAAAATGAAGAAAATATCACTAAATTTATATAGAAATTTAAAAATGTTCTGGTAGAATAATCCCCTTATATTCCCTTAGGCCTAATGAATTCTTTTTCACTCCCTATAGTCTGAAATAATTTATAATCTGTATTCGTATTATATTTCTTGGAAACAGATTGCTTGTTTTTTTTTTTTTTTTTTTTTTTATAGATTAAACTACTTGTTAAATAAGTATGGACTTTTTAGAAAGGTACTAGATTGATTTTTAGTTGACAATGTACTTTCATGTGCCTCGTGAATAAAGATTATTTTATTTGACTTGGCTTGAACTTAAAATTATTTTTAATAGGGAATAAGTCCGATTTTTTTTTTTTTTATCCAATCAGGCAAATGGGAATGTGCTTATTCGGCAGGTTTGCTGTGGCAGGGGAATTTTAGTGTTTTCATTTTTTACACATTACAGGCATAACAAGTGTTATTCAATAAATTTTACATTAGTAATGTAATTTCTTAGCCAAAGCATGGCTAAATAAATTACTTATGACTTTTAAATGTTAATCAAGACAATAAAGTTTTTGAATCAATCATTATTACAGTAGAACCTCGAAAACAAGACCCTCGATAAAAGCCACCCTTGATAACAAGGATCATTTCCAAATCACCTTGAGATTATTTTATACCTAATCACACGTTATTGCAAACCTCGATAAGAAGTCAACCTTGATAACAAGTCTTATTTTATAATCCCTTTGAGAGTCTTGTTATCAAGGTTCTACTGTATTAACATTAAACTTATCATTTGATATGGGGATGCCACCTATGAGAATGAAGTGATGATAGATAAGCTTACTCCATAACCCCATAACTTGTAATCTTATTAATATTTGATGTGAAACAACAAAGATTTACAGCCTGTTTTATAGTATTATTAGATAAGAGCCTATAGACCCAATTAGTTATGCTAAATAAAACTGTTTAACCAACATCCTCAACAGCTAATTTAAAGCTGGAGACTGATTTACTCAGGTTTAGAAAAAAACTAAAGCTGACATGTAGTCAGTCATTCCTGTTATATTTAACGATTTAACCAAAAGTCAAATGGTTTATTTAGTAGTCTTTGTACATAACTTATCACCTTGACCTTGATTACTAACCTTGATCAAGGAACGTTCAGTTTTCACTAAATTGTAATGACTTTTCAAATACATAAGTAAGAATGTATTATTTTGTTATTTTTGAATAAAGAACTTATGACTAATAAATAGTAAATACACCTATTGAAAACTATTGAGAGATATTTACGTACTGTACTGTAGGCCTAGTTCTAATTGAATAGTTCAAAATTATTGGAATGACATGATGTCAATTTAAGTTAACCAAAGGAAAGTATGTTACAACGCTAGTTGATTTTATCACCTGTTTTTAACTATACTCACTAATAAAATTAGGTATATAAAAATTAAACTAATAATATCATGTTGCTTAGCCTGTAAGTTAAATATATTTTATTGTAAATTCTAGCTATCCACTAAAATCCACTAAGAGTAGGTAGTTCCAAGACTACAAAATTTCTTAAACTTTTTGATAACATATTGACAATTGGCCTATATGCCAACTAAACTAAACAATTTATTGACTTAGTAAGAATCCTACAAACATTGTTGTAACATATAACTTAATACAAAGGACAATGAATCTG